ATCATAGTAATTAAATATTTTCAGCCCTTAAAATATTTTCAAATGATTCTTAATTTCTTCAGTAAAATGTTTATGTTGAATGTCAAGTTAAAAAATAACCATTCTACACTTATTTATATATACAGTATATAAGATAAACAGGATAACATAAAACTGAGAATGAAATATTCTATTTACGTATTTCCAAAAACATGTAATCTTTTCGTTTAAAAAAAGGTTCATTTTTTTCTTCCATAAGTGAGTGTGCACAAGAGATGGAGAGGGAAAGAAGAGCGAGAGAAAGAATGGCACCTCCTATCACTAGGAGCTAGATGCCATGATCCATCCCCAGTCTTCAGCCAGCCCTGGATCATGGGCACACACGTGCCCAGCATAGCAGAAGGTCTCCTGATGCAACCCTGGAACTTTCCCAGGTGGGCCAGCCTTGCAGAGCACTGCTTACTGCTGTGCCACCTACTGGCACCTTTAATCTTCACAGTGCTAACTGGCTCCTATCACTAAAAGGCTAGCATTATGCATGTAACGTTTTTCACATTACCTAGTGGAGGCGGGTAAGCTGTGACAGGTGGATGGAGTCCTGCTCCGGATCCCTGCCCAGAATTTCCAGTGCTTCCCTGGGACACATTGCCATGGGGATCACTGGCAGTTGTCGTGTTGTTACCAGTACAGGAAGTTCCACCTCCAGTATCAGAATCTTCAATATTGCCACCACTGTTACATCCAGCGCCACAACCTTTCCTTAGCCTAGGAACAAATACCAGAGCAGTAAATATTAGTCCAAGATTACTCAGGAGAGATATTTCATTCTTTTTCTAACTATTAACGTCACTAAAGCTCACCTTGAAGGTCTTTATGGTGTAATCACATGAGGAACAAAAAAAATCTGCTCTGTTTACCAAGAATGGCTTAAGAATACACCCCTCTTATATTCACTGCCTCAAATCTTTCCAATCGACTTCACTTTTATATATTCTAGCATCTTTCCTACATCATAGTCAAGACCTGTGCGTAATGCTAAGATCACAGCTACAAACGAATTCTTGCCAGTACCTATGCAGTGCTCTGTAGAGTGGGACCCTAGAAGACTAACTAACTACTACTACTGTAGCATACTTGAAAGGGCTGGACAATAATTTTCTCTCTCTTTTTTAACATGTAGGATTCTGGCTGGCTATGACTGTCTCATTTTGGCACAGAGAATGCTGTATCCTGGTAAACCCCTACATCTTAGGCACACCAGGGCAGTTGGGCACTCTCTCTGTGCCCTTCTGCTTGGGGGAGGGGGTGGGGGGGAGAGGCAGAATCTTTATAACAATGCCAGCACAACAAATATTCTTTGAAAGGCAAATTTCTTTGACTATTAGCATGGCTTAAACTCCTACTCCTGTCTGGATAGGTAAGTCACAAGCCCACAACCTTTCCTTAGCCTAGGAACAAATACCAGGGCAGTAAATAGTATTCCAAGGTTTGCTGGAGTAATTTCAGAGGTTGCTGCTCTAATCACTTATGTTCTGATATTTAAGAATCTGAACACAACTCTTTCTTTTTAAAAGGGATCTTTTTTTGCTATAGGGCACATGCATTTGCCACAGAGACAGACAGAGAGACAGAAAACAAGAAATCATCTCCCAGGGGGGATGAGCACGCTGCAATCTCTTCTTCATTGTCCTCTCAGGATTTTGGGCACACACACACATATACATGTGCCTGATGAGTTTGAAGCCACTGGGACCAGAACTTGAACCATGGCTTACTATGTAGGAATCCAGCAATGCAACCATTACACCACCTACTGGTCCCCTGAACACAACTCTTTAGAAGCTGAAAACAATGGCCTGGGGCCAGCAGGTGTCATAGTGGTTATGGTGCTGGACTTCTACATGGGAGGCTACGGTTTGAGTCCCAGACTTGGCAGCTTGAAGCTTATGCCATGCGTATGTGCATATGCACACATGCCCAAAATCCTAGGAGAATGGAGGAGAAGGGATTACGGCATGGCCATTCCGTCTAGGGGGGTGATTTTTCACTTCCCCTCTCAGTGTCTCTCTCCTCTCTGGGGAGCACATGTGTCCTGTGGCAACAAACCTTTTTAAAAAAAGAAAACAATGGCCTTTGATTTTTCTTCACCACCTACCATACTATGATGCGCCTACTACACCAGGCATCCTAATTTACTAGATAAAAGGCAAAGAAAAGACTCACATGTGTACTTGAAAACATGACAGATTTGAGATTTGGGTGATAACTGGATGGTTAAAAAGGCAGTTATATCTGCACTGAACAGCTGGGAGTTTCAACAAGTGCAGCTTGCTCCCCCGGTGCTGGATCAGAATGCTAAACTAGGAGAATGTAATTAACTTACACATGTTTCTTTCACTTTTCCTCTTAATTTACCCTGTTTGCTAGCTCACATGTTCTAGCAGTGGTAATATACGACAATAAAGAAAAAAGATAAAGAAATAGGAGTTATTAAAGAGTCTATCACATATTGTGGAGAGTGGCCAACCTGAGCAAATATGGTGACCTTTAGACACATGCAGAAATGCACTTCCATGAGCTTCATAGGCATGACTATGAAAGCATCTGGATACAAAAATGCTATCTGCCTGATACCAGTATTGCAGAGCAGTATCAGGCTAAAGGAAGTCACGTGTGATTCTTAGATTTTTGCCCCCAAAAGATCAGAGAAATTACATGGTGTCAGTCATTTTCACATCTTCAGACAATTTACATACAAAAGCAGCTGGCGTGTCTTTCCATGTCCTCTTCCCCCATTTTCTGCCCTTTAAAAGAATACACCTGAGGCTGGTTCCTGGTAGCAGCTTCTCCATCACAGAAACTGGGCCCATCTGATCCTTGCTTTTCTATACTTGCATGTCTTTGCATTTTTGTTGTTATATTTATTTCTAATCCACAGGCTCCCCACTCAGAAAAACATGTTCAGCTGAGCAGATCTCAGCAGCATGTCGAAGTAATGGTTTTTATCCAGAGTTGTATATTAATAAGATTTTAAGGATAAAAATGTTCTGATTCTAGGACCAGTAGATGGTGTAATGGTTATGTAACTGGACTCCCACATGGCCGACCATGGTTCGAGTCTCAGACCTGGTGGTTTAAAACTCACACCAGGCATGTGTGCATGCATGTCCAAAATCACAAAGAGAATGAAGGAGAAGAGATTGTGGTGTGGCCATCTCTCCTGGGTGGGGGGGTTGATTTTTCATTTTCTGTTTTTCTGGCAAGCACACACCCCCTATAACAAAAATCTCTCTAAAAAATATAGCTCGGATTCTACCTCTTGAAGTTCAGATACAACAGGCTTATATTATGCCATGGTGTCTTTATTTTTTTCTGCAAGTTTCCCAAATGATGCTAACACACTGCCTAAGAGAGAGAGTTGGGACGCCATCACTGAAAAATGCAACCCCACAACTCACCTGTGCCAGGTTGACACTATGAAGTTTCTGATATTTCCCAAGCTGATAGGTCCCCCAAGAATTTCTTTAAGCTGTTCATGGCTGTCAGAGTAAGAAGTTGTCAGGGGTGAGACAAAGATTGGGTAACCAATAGGCTGATCGCAAGATGAGTTTATCATGTTTCTCAGGGCTTGCTTTGCATTCTGAATGCTACCTCTCTCTGGGTTACGGTTGCGCAGAAAAACAAGCTCCTGCTGTTGCCCTGCCCAAAGACCTCTGACACACTCTTTATTCACCTGAAAACAAGAACACATGGAAATTCAGTTAAGAGGCCAAGAATAAAATTCATATAAACAAAAGAGCAGAAATGAGAGGGATACAAAAGACACTATGATAATCAACTATGAAGGCAAGAAATGAATATATAAGCAGGTCATATCTGAATAGGAATTAACCAGTTTTTCTTTGTCATCAGCAGGCTGTTAAACAATAAGCACCTACTGAGCTCATTTCCCTGCTCTGACATGTAAAAGTGTCAAGTAAGAGGTAGTCCATTAAATTTCTCAAATTGGTGAAACACTGAATTTTTAAATAATAGATTTTTTTAATAAATCAAAATGAGAGGTAATAAATATTTAGAATTGAAAGAACGTTTTTGACATTTTGGAGTTGATAAAATAATGTCAGCAAAAAAAAAATCACTACAAACTAAAATTTCAGAAATTAAGTCTCTGAAAACTCTCAGATATGCTTTTTGAAAAAAAAAAGAAAACAAAAAGCCAGAATAAGCCATTTACAGTTAGCTTCTGATCACTAGTAAGTATAAGCTATGTATGCTCTTGTTTTGGAACCTAAGACTCATATAATATTAGCAATATGGTGCTCTTTATAAAGAGTGGTTGCCTAGATCATGTATATTATAGACCTAAGATCTGCCAAATAATGGACAAAAGGCAGCCAAAACTGACATATGCAAAAATGTTAAGGCTTCACAGCACATGAAAAAATTTCAAAGGATGGAATCAATGACAGACAAAGTAAGTCAAATTAAGTGTTCATAAACAATAAATTCAAAAGTAGCCTGGCCACATTTTTTTTCTATAAAGAGTTTCAAATACTTTTTAAAAGACTAGCTCACATTTTTCAACTTCCATTTTCTAGATGCAAATCAACATCTTGAAAACTTACTTTAATGACTCTGAAGCTCAGATAGCGCCTGTTGAGCATGATAATTTTGTATTCATTGGTGCCATCGTCCATGACATGTCGTAGAGCGAGCAAGGAAGGAGAGTTGGCCAGGACTGCACTCCGCCATGCTGGGTCCCCTTCATGGGCTATGACCAGGTTTTTCTCATGAGATACAATGGCTTCATAGAGCACAGTAGGGTCATCATACTCATCTGGAGAAGTGAAATGGTCCTAAATTTAGAAATAAAAATGATCTAAGTTTTTTAGGAAGAGAAGGAATTCCATGATGATGATGACTGCTCTAGTTATCAAGTGAAAAATTCTTAAAAGAAGTTTAATATTTTATGTCAACACATTAATATTAATCACAACAGGTCTGGAATTAGATTACCACTATGCTACTTTTTAATTAAATTTTTAGTTTTTGTTATGGGGTGCATGCACTCTCTAGAGAGAGAGAGAGAGAGAAATCTCCCCCCCCAGGAGGATGGCTATGCCTCAATCCCTTCTCTTCTATTCTCCTTTAAGGATTTTGGGTACGCATACACAAGTGCTCAACATGTCTTTCAAGCCACCACCAGGTCCAGGACTTGTACGGTACGGTTAGCCATGTGGGATCCAGCTGCCTTAACCACCATGCCCTAAGATGGCTGTGTTTCTTTTTAGTGAGGTACTTTCCACACAAAGCCACATCTGTAGAATCGTTCACATACAATTTTATCCTGTCTCTTACCTAGTTCAGGTATGACTCAAAGCTATGAGCTTTGGGCAAAAATTAGGGGGCCTAGTCCTAGAGAAGTTAGTGAAGTCTTCCCTGGAAAAGCCTCTGGGTCTTAACTACCCATTCATTCAATGAACAGTTATTCAATATTCAATATCTACCATGTGCACAACTCTGTGATGTAACGTGGATGAAACCAAGGAGTATATGACACATATCATCCTTTTATAAGCCTCTAAATTAATAGGGGATATAGGAAATATACTAACACATAAACCTAATAATATAAATTGGATTTCTGAAATCATGTGCTACTAAGGAAATAAAAGTAATCTATAATACATCCAGATACAGTAACTTATTCATATTAAAGTCAACTGACCAGAATGTGTGCTACCTGAAGGGGAAGAATAAGAAAGCAATATCTCAAAGACATAGGCTCTGAGACTGGGAGTCAGAATAGAAGAAACCACCACCATGTATGTGAATCGTGCTCCACAATGTAAAATGTTCTCTCATATATAGTTCCACTTGACTCTTTTTTTTTTTTTTTGAGAGGTTTTCGCTATAGGGGGCATGCACTTGCC